CACATATATATATATATATATATTATACATACATACATACACATACATACATACATACATAGGGTCGCGCTATTCGTCACCCTGGATGAGGAATAGTTATTCTTCACCCCCTCTTTTTTTGACGTAAATGCACCATATTTTTAGGTTTCGTAAATGTTGCCTTATTTCATACGTAAAAAGAGAACATAAGAAAATATATACTCACTGTAAAAAACATTTTATGTTACATAAAATTACGAACGTAAAAACATAGTGTAATATATACATAAAATGCGATATTTCTGGTCCTATAACCTATTTTTTGTTTTCTTATACCAAATTTTACGTGGTGAATCAATATGAATGTAACTATTTGTATTCTAAACGTAATTTATTTATGAAGCCATCGTAAGATTACCTCGGGTGAAGAATAACTTATTCTATATCCTGGGTGATGAATAGTATTTGTTGAAAAAGTATTATTCCCTCTGTTCTTGTTTCTTTTTTTATTTCTATTTCTAAAAACAGTCATCAAGGACACAGACCTCAAAACATGAGGACAAATTACTTCTCTTAGGAACACATACAAGAAAAGGGATAACGGTAGCCCTCCCATTAACTACTTCATTTTCATTTATGAATTTCATAGTAATAGAAATCCATGTCCTACCGAGACAGAATTTAGAACTTGCTATCCTCTTGCCTAATAGGCAAAGATTGACCTCTGTAGAAAGACTGATTCATTCGGATCGATATGAGGACCCAACTCCGTTGCATTGCCAGAATCCATGTTCCATATTTGAAGCGGGTTGACCTCTATGCTTCTCTCATGGTAGAATCCTCTTCCTGCTGAGCCCCCTTTCTCCTCGGTCCACAGAGAAAAAAATTTAGGACTGGTGCCGACAGTTCATCACGGAAGAAAGAACTCACAGAGCCGGGATCGGTAACTAATAGTACTACTAACTAATACTAATATATAGAAATAGATATCTAGAAATAGAAATGAACTAATATATAGATAATCGAAATAGCAATATTGGAGTACTATACCATATTACCATTCACATGCTTATATAGTGCATTAGATTTAGATGTATAGTTCTTATGTTTTCAATGATAGTCAAAATTGAATCACATGAAGGAAATCTTGAACGGTCCAATGACAGCTCTAAATCCATCTGGAGACAGAGATATATCATGTTACCTTTACCGTAGCAAATGTCAAGTTGTTTGTGTATGTTATGGTGAATCTACAGATACATTATATTTCAAATTAGTACACTTATCCAAAAAAAATCTATATGCTAGATTAATAGGAATACAACAGCAACCATGGAAATGGAACTAATGATACAACTTCTTATATATAAATTCTCACCCAGCGGACTGTCCATCTAGATGCCAAGCCCTCCACTCATCCACAATGGGGAAATTGAGTGATCGCACCCAAGACTGTGTACCGAGAAATGGTATAATAGCATCATGGTCTCCACTGTATAACAAAGATAGATAATAAGGTTATAACCTGACAACTTATTAGAGATGGAAATAAGAGCACCTCCTATTCTTTTTATGTATTTATGCTAATAAAGTTCTGCACAACTGTGCCTGAAGTTCAAAAAAACTGTGCCAGGCACAAGTAATATAAAGCAAATATTTATGATATGATACACTTTTTTACAGTAATAGTGTTTACCTATATACAAGTGCACGATAACCTTTTAAGGTCATGTTATGATGGTACTTTATTGTGCTCTTGATCTCTAAAGAATAAGGTAAATCTCGTTCGTGGCACCTCACCCATTCGTCCTTGCTCCCCTAATTAAATGGTGTATAGAGTTAAAACAGAAAGGTAAAATTTTGATGTAAATAACAAGATGAAAATTCTTCCCAAGGAAAAAATTAGTAGCTTACCTTCTTGATCCCAAGGGCTTTCCTAGTGATGTTGTTGTTAGCCCAAAAATATGATAGGTAATTACCATAGGTCTGTAGATGGGAAAAAATGAACCTGATTTAAAAACAACTTTTGATTATGCAAGATCTTAATAATTGCACCTATGCTAACAACCGATAGATTTGCACAAGTGTAGTGTAGTGAGTATATGAACATATCATAGCCGATGTGTCTTCATAATTGCCCCTAAATATAATCCTTCCACAGATCTGGTGTGTTCTTATTACTAATGGACAACAACCGACCAATGTTCATAACCGTACGTAAACATCATTAGGCCATGGATACAACACTTTAAATATTAATGTTCAATAAAGATATTCATAATAAACAACTGCCGTTTTCTATCAGTGTCAGAAAACGTTTTATATTATGGGACAGAGGGAGTACAACTTTAGTTCCAATTTGATATCATATACGACCAAACCGGTGGCTCGGTACAAATGACCGATAGTACTCCAAAAATACGAAGTTTAATTCTCTGTAATTATACCACATACTTATCACCAGCCCACACCACGTACAAACAACCGACCAGGTGGGTCACTTATAAACTTTAATGCAACATTTGATCTAAGAATCCATGCGAATCGAACATCTGGTCATAATCAGGTCTTCATATAATTAATAAAAAAATATTCGTACAATCAATTCAGGTGGACTTACTTGGCAACCCATTGGAGGACGAGGAGGTGGATGCTTAAGTATTCCTACTTCCTCCTTTAGGATCTTTCTTTATGTACTCTCGTCGTTTGGTCCGGGAGATGCATAGACACACTTTTTATACAAAATGTGTGGATGTGAAATTTCATTCCACAGCTGCAGTGAAACGTCACTTACTTGGTTGAAAGGAACACATTAATGTGCCAACCAAAACCATATAGTAAGTTATTATACAGAGTCGAACACTGGGAATGGCATGCTCGAGACAGGGTATTTGTATCATTAATTTTCACTTGATTTCTATACAAAATAAGATGGAGAAAGTTCAAGTGGTTATATCCTTACTTGGTTGGACCTATCCAAAGCTTGAGCGCAGAGCGCATTCTTGGGGTTGCTATAATCTTCCCCTTGGCAGTGCTCCATTATCATCTAAAGATCGATCACATGCAACCACATGGAGACATAATTAGCTAACCTCATATGGGCGGAAGCAGTAAACTATAGATCCATAGGTGAGTGATAAGGTGTTGGAGGCATTTCTAATTAATCACCTCATACAACTGATATGAAATTATGCTCGTTCCATGAAGATATGGCACTCTCGATCCATAATCGATATTGTATTCACCAGTAGCAAGGTTGCCGACCAGATAGCCCTGGTCAAATTTTTTTATGACAATAAAAATTGTGGTCAGGTTGGGATTATGGCACCTAAAGTTGTTCCTGATATTGAAATATAATATTTTCTTGATAAAGGGAATATATTAATATCAAGATGATATCAATTACACCCATCCTCTTAATCAACACTACTCCCTCCGTCCAGGTGCATAAATCATCTTAGGGTTTAGGGTTTGCACCCTGACTAAGGTGGAGGGAAGTGATTTAAGATCAGCTACTACCATGCATTGGGATCCTCAATTGACCATCTTGGCTTATTAACTGCCCTTGTCCTTTGTCCAGGAGTTGCAAGTAGTTTCTGGTGTTTGTAGTATACTGGAGGTCGTGCGCAGCGTTGACCCTCGGATGGGCTTTGATGCGTTAGGTACGTGGCCGGGTATGCCGAACGCCCGTTTGGTGTCTCGGAACCCTATACACATCGTTCGGGGCCGTATGTGGAAACCTCGGCCAGACTCCCTGCGGATGGAACCTGAATAGGCGATAAACCTGGACTAGAGACTTGAGTATTTAGTTAGGCCGTGGCCGACACCCTCGTTGCGCTTCCGCTTGAAGGTTGTCGAGTACATGTCGTGTAAACGGCGATAAGTGGTGGAAGCGTGTGTGAAGAAATACACCCCTACAGGGTTAACATCATCTATTTGAATAGCCGCGTCCGCGATAAAGGACCACTTGGTTGCCTATATAGTTCATAGACAAGTAAATGGAAACTACTAAAAGCCTCAAGACAAGTGTAAGTGTCGTGGATGGCCCTTCCGTAGGATGATGGGAGAGGATCCGTGGTAGTGTATTGTTGTGGTGAGTAGTGGACTCGTGTGCACAAAACAATTAAAAGTTGGTGTCTCGTAAGATAGTTAGCCAAGAGTCAAAGCTGGCTTGCTGCAATAACTCCACTACCCCTTAGTTGATAAGGTGCATATATGTAGGATCTGATGTAAGTCTTGCTGAGTACCTTTGTACTCATATTTGCTTAATTACTGTTGCAGAAGAGAATGTCGTCCCTTCTGATGGGTTTTACGTAGACCTCGACGTTGATGAGTAGCTTGATGCCCAGGTGGTGATCCTAAGCATGTGAAGGACCCTTGTAGATAGTTAGGCTTCCTCAAGCCTGTTTGTTTTTTAGTTGTATGTACTCAGACAAGTTGCTTCCGCTTGTGCTTGTATGCTTGTATGACTTGAATGTCGGGTCGTGTGACCCCTATCTGTATGAATGATATGTATGGCTCTCTGGAGCCTTTTAAATAAAGTACTTGAGTTGTAGAGTTTTGTTGTGATGCCATGTTGTATTTGGACATATCGAGCATATTGTGTGTATGATTTGAAATGCTTGGTATGTGTGGGACCTGACTACCTAGTTATTTATCCTTGGTAGCCTCTCTTACCGGGAAATGTCTCCTAGTGCTTCCACTGAGCCTTGGTAGCTTGCTATTGGTCCGGAACACTTAGGCTGGCCGGCATGTGTCCTTTGACGAGAAAGATAGCATTATTCCCTCTCTTGGTCCTGGGAAAACCGGTGATGAAATCCATACCAATCTTATCCCATTTCCATTCAATAATAGCTAAAGGTTGAAGGGTGCCAGCAGGCCGTTGATGCTCTGGTTTAACACAATAATAGACGTCGCAATTAGCAATATACTCAGCAATTTCTCTCTTCATCCTAGTCCACCAGAACCTCTGGCGTATGTCCTGATACATTTTAGTACTATCAGGATGAATTGTGCGAGGAGATTCATGAGCTTCCTTAAGGATCAATTGATGTAGTTGTCGTTTCATGGGAACCACTAAACGGTTCTCGAAGAAGACAACACCTTGATCATTCACAGTGAAACATTTAGCAACTCCGCTAGCAATGTTCTCCTTGATCCGAGATATCCCCTTGTCATACCGCTGAGCGGTTATGATATGATCCATAAGGGTAGGTTTCGCCACCAAGGTAGAAAGGAATCCTTGAGGAATGATATGAAGGTTAAGCTTCCGAAATTTCTCGTGGAGAAGTGGTTGACTTTGGTGTAACATCAAGTTGTTACAATAAGATTTACGACTTAGTGTATAAGCCATGACATTGGCTTTTCCCAAGGTGTAAGTTATCCCAAAGACGTAATATGTGATCCACTCGACCCAACGTCTTTGCCTGAGATTCAAATCTGGTTGGGTGAATATGTATTTCAGACTTTGGTGATCGGTGATGATTTCACAACGATTACCGAGGAGGTAATGTTGCCAGGTTTTGAGCGCGTGGACTACAGCTGCAAGCACTAAATCATGTGTAGGATAATTTACCTCATGTGGATGCAACTGCCGTGAAGCATAGGCAATTACATGACGATCTTGGATGAGTATGCAACCTAGTCCTTGTCGCGAGGTGTTGCAATAGATAACATAGTCCTTGGAGAAATCTGGTGGTACCAGTACGGGAGCAGATGTCAGGCGTCTTTGCAGTTCCTGAAAACTGTACTCGCACTGCGGGGTCCACTCAAACTTTTTATCTTTCTTGAGAAGTTCAGTTAGAGGTTTAGCAACCTTGGAGAAATTCTCGACAAAGCGGCGGTAGTAGCTCACTAAGCCAAGGAAACTCCAAACTTGCTTGACCGATTCAGGTGGAGTCCAATTAAGAACGGCTTGAACTCGCTCGAGATTGACAACAATACCCTTACCAGAGATTACATGGCCTAGGTAGGTCACTTCTGGCAACCAGAATTCACATTTAGAGAATTTGGCATAAAGGCGATGCTCTCGAAGTTTCATCAATACTAGCCTTAGATGCTCGGCATGTTCTTCCTCATTTTTGGAATAGATGAGTATATCATTGAGGTATACCACGGCGAATTTATCCAAGTACTCCATGAAGATCGAGTTCATTAACTGAGAGAAGGTGGATGGGGCATTCGTTAAACTAAAGGACATGACGGTGTACCCGTATTGGCCATAACGAGTAACAAAGGCCGTTTTGGGAATGTCCCCGTTCTTGATTTTGATTTGATGGTAGCCCAACCTCAAATCCATCTTAGAAAAGACTAAGGATCCAACGAGCTGGTCATACAGGTCATTGATCCTGGGGAGCGGATACTTGTTCTTTATGATGACCAAATTGACGGGTCGATAATCTACAACCATCTGATCCGTACCATCCTTCTTCTTGACGAAGAGGATGGGGCAAGCCCGTGGAGAAGAACTAGGACGAATGAAACCCTTTTTCAAGGACTCATCGAGTTGATTCTTGAGTTCAGCTAGTTCTAGTGGTGCCATCTTATAAGGTCTCCTAGAGATTTGGACGGTTCCCGGGACAAGATCTATCACGAACTCGATACCCCTGTCAGGTGGAACACCTGGCAGTTCCTCTAAAAAGACATCCGGAAAGTCATGGACTACCGGGATTTCTTCGAGATCTGGAAAATGCCTGGCATTAAGAGAGAAGAGCTGACGCTCAGACACTCGGGTCAAGACATTGACTACCTTGCCCGATGGATGTGCAAGTTGAACAGTCCTAGAGTAGTAATCAATCTTAGCATGATGGGCTATCATCCAGTCCATACCCAAGATGATATTAATGTCCGAGGATTTGAGAGCTATCAAAGATGCAAGGAAAACAAGTCTATCGACATGAATTTCATTCCCATGGCTTACTCTAGAAGTTTGCCATCTAGAACCAGGAGTAGAAATTTCTATGGTGGAGGGCATATCACAAAATGCGGCATTGTGCAAACAAGCATAGCTCTCAGATATAAATGAATGAGATGCTCCAGTATCAAAAAGAAGAGATGCTGGATGGCAATTAACAAGGAGCGTACGAAGAACGACGTTAGGATCATCCTGAGCCTCTTCAGCTGAGACACAGTTCACATGGCCATGTGCAGAGGTGACTAGTTTGGCGTAATACACCTTCCCTGTTGGCTTGCCACAGCCAACGGCCATTCCAGACGGGTTGGGGTTGTTGTTCTGGGGACACTCTCGCATGTAGTGACCCGGTTCTCCACATTTGAAACATGTCACAGTGTTGGTGCGTGGAGGAGCATTGGCAGCTGATCCATCATAAGTCTTGGGCGATGCATACTGATGGGTTAGACGAGGCGCCTGATAGGATGGCCTCGGAGTGAACCTGCGTGGTAGAGCTATGTTTGGCACCCACACCCGGTGCTTTTGAGAGCCAGAACTGGATGAGGAACCAGTATCACGGGCGTGCTTGCGTGTAGCTTCAAAGTCAGTCTGACCTGTCTCAGCACTGATAGCCTTGTTCACTAGCTTCTGGAAGGAAGTGCGTTCGTGTAGACGAAGATCACGGCGAAGCCCGGGGCTAAGTCCCTTGCGGAACCTCGCATGCTTCTTAGCGTCGGTGTACA